TGTCCAGGAGAGAAATGTACATTATGCAGGCGGGAGCGTAATGCGCGCGCGGGGATAACGACGTATTATATAGGATAGCTTCTGCCGATTCGAACGGTGCAGCAGCAGCGAGCCAATATATATTATCGTGCAGCGCGGCTACTGATGAAGTCGCATTTAGACTAAATTATTCTTCTTCTTCTGCTGCTGCTGCTGCTTCTTGCGAGTTGCGCTTGCCGCTCGCACTTATACTTATATGTATATACGTAAGTGCATCGCCCGCAGGTACTTTTTTCGAGCTCGAGAGCGAAACGAGCTTCTTCGATACCGCGCATACATCACACGATACGCGCTGCCGTGTATGTGTTTTTGCTCCCGTAGCCTTTCTAAAGCAGCGATGAGCCAATATTGCCACAACGTGATTTAAGAGTGTATTTTTGTGGCCCGGTATGTAAAAGTACAAAATCAAAGCTGAATCTGTGCTACTACCGCACCCTCTTGCGAAATCGTGTCCGCGAGAGCTTGCAAGATCGAGACCGCCTCGGCCACAGACGCAACCCGATATACGCAGCGTTGAAATCTTTGACGTTCGGATAGTACAGTTCGATCTGATTGATACTGGCTCGAAGCTCACGAGTATACGACGTCGACGTACTTACTGCGTTAACGATATACGCGAAAAAGTGTGCAATTGGTCGCGATTCGCTTTGTGCCCCAAGCTCGCGGCTATACGCTCGATATTGCTCATGGACAATTTTATAAATATAGCTGTTACTCCGACTCAAGTTCGCGCGCATTTACGAAGCAAATCATAAATCTCGATATTAACTGTGCGAGAGCCGCGCACCAAAGCCAGACGCGCAGACGATCGCGAGAATTGCCGGGGCATTAGGCGCGCGCGCGTGTAAACCCCGTGAACGGCCAATGTGTTTATGTGTGCGTGTGTGTCTCATTAAGCGTCGTTTCGATACAAAAATTCTCGATAAATCTCGTGTATACCCGTATAATCTTTAGCGAGTTCATAAAGTCACACTAAAAAGGCACCAATTTCTTCACCATCGTCGCGCGAGCGCGCGCGTGTGTGTCGTTATACACCAGCGATCGAGCAATTGCACAGCGGTACACCTATGTAACGCGTGTCGAGCTGCACTCGGTGACATTTTTAAGATTCTCTCTGCGACACACACACACTACGAGCTGTTTATAGTACACTCGAGCGCTCGAGAATGTTAATGAAATATTAACTCCCCAGACTCATACGTATATATTTAGCAATAATCTATCGACTCTCTCTCTCTCTCTCTCTTTTGCTAACAGCGATAATATCAACTTTGAGCCTCTAAAAACGTGGATAAAAAGGATAAAAAAGCGCAAAGGAGAAAAATAAAAAGTTAGCTCTCCGTGCGTAATAAGAACTAGTCCTTATCGTACGTACTCGTGTACGTAAACAGCTGCGCGGCTATTCCTCGGAGCTATGTAAGCATACAGTTTCGTCCTGTTGAATATGCTCAAGCGCATATAATGCAGAAACAGAGAGAGAGAGATTTTTGCGTAAGGCAAAAGGCTGATCATATATACAGACAAACACACGCACATAAACATACACCAATACATATACGTATGCGTATAGACATGAAAATCGCGACGAGAAAATGAATGAAGTCATAAATTCGTGCGCGAGCTATGTACGTATATCTCTGCGTGTATATTGCGGAGACGAGCGCGGCACGCAGCAACAACAACAACAACAACAACATCGACGACGATCGAAATCGGACGCCTCGCGAGTACAGTGATCCTCTCGCTTTCACTGCTGCGCGCGTCGCTGTACGAGCGGCAAATCGGCGGATCGGTTGCAAAATTTGCATTGTAGCCGCGTGTATAAACACTCACCAATTGCACGCAGCAAATACTGTATATACGTTCGCGGACAAGGATCGAGCCCAGCGAGTGTATATAATACCGCATTGTACACAATGCGTACATACACGTGGACGATAATTTTTTATTTTTACCCACAGACTCTGCGCGTATATAATTACTCGCTTACGCGCGATTGCCTCCGCGTACATATAAGCGCGCACGAAATCGCGCCGTTTGTGTATACCGCATTTAACCGAATCCGATAATTGAAAGCGACTTGTCGCCACGACGAGAGAGCTGCGCCTCAACACATTTCACCTGTACGCACAAACGTAAATATGCGTTGCGATCGAGCTTTAAGGGGGGTATTGTTTTTACAACTCGCGCGTACGTATAGAGCTATATATAATATATACAGCACGATTTTATCGAGGAAATTACTTTTTGCGTAATTGTTGCTTACATATTTACGTAGACGAGCTTTTTATGCTGTCCGCGCGGCTTGTGCGTGCATCGGCGTCCCGCGGTAATTCGCGTTTGTGGATACGAGTTCGGTCATGCATACGAATAATTGAGCTGGTACGCACTCGCACTGTTGATCGGAGCCTGTAGATGGATGCAAATATGTATTTCATAAGATACACTTATTGGTGCTTTTGATGAATTAGAATTGACACTTCTCGAAGAGCTTCTCTATCGATGATCGATGCTGCTAAGTTGGTTCAGGTGTGCGAAAAGCAGTACAGGGGATCAGGGTCATGCCAATTTTACAATGACGAAGAAATTAATGACAGTAATTTATTTGTTTCTTTATTTTTCAGAAAATTATAGCATATTTGCGAAAAAGACCCTCTACAATTATGGTACCAATGTGAAAATGTATAACTATATAGTGCCCAAATATCCCGAAACAAATCTCATTTAATGAAAATATCAATACGATTTTGTTGTGTTTTAGTTGATTTTATTACGGCCGTATTATACGAGAGAAATCTATAATTATCTAATTAATATCTATTTTTGCAATCATAATGGACTCTGGTGACGCAGCAAATGCGATTTTTGTCCAAATTTTTTCTCGCAACTGACGCATGCGAAATCTTTACGACCTTCGTGGACTGTCTTCGCGTGAACGAGCAGATGCTGTTTTAGTCTAAATTTCTGATTGCAACTGTCGCATGCATGATCTCTGCAATTCTCATGAACTGTGGTTTGGTGCCTGAGCAAATGCGATTTGTATCCAAACTTCTTTTCGCAATGGTCACAAGCGAAATCTTTTTGACCTTCATGGACTGTCCTTTGGTGTCTGATCAAATCGAATTTCAATACAAATTTCTTTTCACACTTGTCGCATGCGTAATCTTTACGACCCTCATGAGCTGTTTTTTGATGATACAGCAAACACGATTTTTGTGTAAATTTCTTTTTGCACTTGTCACATACGAAATCTTTGCGACCTTCGTGGACTATCTTTTGGTGGAGATGCAATTGAGACTTTTGTCCGAACTTCTTCACACATTTGTCGCATGCATAGTCTTTTCGACCTTCATGTACTGTTTTTTGGTGCCTGAACAAATCTCCTCTACTTCTAAATTTACTCTCACAATTATTGCATGGATAGTCTTTTCTACCTTCGTGTACTGTCTTTTGGTGCAAAAGCAAATGAGTTTTTTGTCCAAATTTCTTCTCACATTTGTCGCACGCATAATCTTTGCGATTTTCGTGCACTGTTTTTTGGTGCCTAAACAAATCTCCTCTATTTCTAAATTTACTCTCACAATTATCGCATGAATAATCTTTCCGACCTTCGTGTACTGTCTTTTGGTGCAAAAGCAAACTCCGTTTATTTCCAAATCTCTTGGCGCACTTTTCACATAAGTAATCTTTGAAGACTTCGTGGAATATTTTGTTGTGCTTCAGTAAAGTTGATTTATTTTCAAATTTACTCTCGCACTTGTTACATGTAAAATCTTCGTGATCTTTGTGTATCAATTTTTGGTGCGTAAACAAACTTGACTTTTTCACAAATTTTTTTTCACAGCTATCACATGCAAAATCTTTGTGGCCTCTATGTACCGATACTTGGTGTCTACTCGAATGACTACGGAACTCAAATGTCTTCTCACACTTATTGCATACGTAATTTTTTTTTTCATTGTGAATTGTGTCTTGGTGTGATAAAATAATTGATTTTTGTTTAAATGTCACTTGGCAAATGTTACAAATACATTTTTTGTCGTCTGAAACAATAACGTGTTCCTTTGAATTATTTTCCGAGACAACTTCCTTGTATTTTTCATCACTTTTATCCATTTTTCGTGCCGAAATTAAACGATGGATCCTTTTATTAAGTGCTACGGAAAATTAATTGGTAAAATTTATCTTCTGGTACTATTTAAAGTTTCATCGGGAAAGACAAAATTCGAACTAACTTGTTTCTACTATAAACATGATCAGCGTACCGAGAGACGATGGTAAAATCGTTTATGACCGTATTGGTTACAATTAAGATATCGATTTATCTATTTACACGTTATCCTTACAATATTTGAACCAGTTTAAAATTTTAATTGGCAGACTATTTCTTCGAGGAATTTTTTCGGCTTTGTAAATTTAAGTACTTCAAAATAAATCCTGATGATATCAAGTTAATCTATGTTCATGCGTACTTTTTTTCAATCGAAATTAGAAATTTCTCAAGATCGCAACAAACGGAGAGGAACTCTCCGAGGAATTTAACGTTCGTTCGTTTCAATTACTGCTCCAACTTGACTACTCAGTGATTCAAATGTCGCAGGTTCACGATCTTCATAGACAAGCTTTTTATATGCTGTCCACTATTGCATGTGTAGCGTACCGAGCCGAGCTGATTTGCGTAGGTGGATACGAATTTAGTTAGGCCTGAGAAATACTAACTTGCATCGTTGATCAACTTGTGTGCAATTGTGGCAAAATTATATGTTTTTTATTAGATAGACGGCATATTTATTAATGAATTTGGCGAATCAAGTCACCACTGCGTGAAGAGTTTCTTTATCGACGATTGATTCTGTTGAATCGATAAAGTTTACGAAAATGAGTATACGGCATCACATCCAAATTTTACAATATAATGAAAGTTTAGAAAATTTATTTATTTATTTATTTATTTTTTAGAATATTAAAGCATATCTGGGAGAAAGACTCTCTACAATTATGGCACCAATGTGTAAACAAGTATCAACAAATCTTCTATTCGAACGATTTGTTACAATTATGTGCTGTTCTCAAGTGTCTTTTAAGAACAGTCTTCCAACCAAATGATTTGTGACAAATATCACACTGAAAGCGCTTGATACGATTATGTACTTTTTTAATGTGATCGTTGAGACTACTTTTTTGTCCGAATGATTTGTGGCAAATCTCACATTCGAAGGGTTTTTCCTTATAATGCACTGTACTTATGTGAACTTTTAGATAACTCTTTTTTCTATATAATTTGTCACAAATCTCACATTTGAAGCTTATGCTGCTGTTATTTATGTGTCTATCGAGTTCACCCTTGCTTGAAAATGATTTTAGACAAATCTCACACTTGAACAGTTTGATGCGATTGTGTACTGAATTCATGTGAGCATCGAGGTTGAATTTGTATCTAAATGCTTTATCACAAATCACACACTCGAAAGGTTTGCTTAAATCATGTATTGTCACAATGTGTCTTTTGAGCTCATACTGATACCCATATGATTTATGACAAATTTCACACTCGAATGGTTTGTTACATTTATGTACATAATTTATGTGAGTTTGAAGATCAGCGCTCAGCTCAAATGATTTGTGGCATGTATTGCATTCGAAGGGGTTTTTACAGTTATATAATTTTTTTCTTTTTGGCTTATGACAAATTGCGTCAAATGGTCGATTATTATCATAATCAAATCCTTTTTTAATCAAAATAATAACACTTCGGTATTCTAAGTCACTTTTGGTTGTCGATGGCGCTGTCAATTCAGTTGTATCGTTCTGGTTCTCAAAATCTTGTCCTGATTCTGCATTATTTTTCTAAAATTAAAATTGTACTCTCATTTTTGACAGATGGTAAAAAGCCATTTACTTAAATTTTTTAACTCACCGATAATTCGTTCAACGATAATGTTATAGATTCTAAGTCGCTCCACGAGTCTACCGAATCAGAATACGCACATTCTGTCCAATCACTCAACCAAGCGTCGATTGAATTTTCATTCATCCTAAAGAAAATTATACAGTATGTTAAGGTGAACGCGCCAAGAAACTTTACGAGAGGGTAGCATGAAAATTATGGCACTTACCTGACTACGTCACCTGCTACTTTTCCTCATTTCTTTGATTATGTGTACTCACTGTAATTTATCACAATATATACCGTGAAAGTATTTGAGGTTAAGCACCTCGTGTGGCTACACACGAGAGCGTAAAGACTGTATATACTTTTTCAATATGTAAACACTTGCTCGTCCGAAAATTGTTTTGTGTGTCAGCGAGTTATCTCAAGACTGCGATAGCTGTAGGTCCCCCCTCTACTATAGACTTGTTTCGTACTTATTAAAATACAACGTGCTTATATTTTTGTAAAGAAATAGCTCTCTCTATGAGGAAAATCTGGAAAAGGGTCGAGAGAGAGCTGAAAAAAAGGCTATTTTCCCAAGGGAATGAGAGAGGAGCGGGAAAAAATTCGATCTGCAACCTGCAGCAAACAAGATCGATCGATCGATCGATAGACGTAGAAAAAAAATTGTCAATAAAAAATTACGCGTTCAAAAGTCCTCGATACATATGTTTTTGTTGTACAATATATAGAGAGCTCGAGCCACGAGCACCTGTTCGTATGCTTAGGCGCGCGACGACCACCCAGTAAGTTTATACGAACGCCTAACAAATAATGCCGCGCAACGAATTCATCAAATCACTCTCTATACGCGTGATGCTACTGCTCGGCTACCGATGTACAATACGCGAATTTTTCGCGATTACGATTTGCTCGCATTTTTCGAGCGTCGGCGTTGTTCGACTGCGATTGCGGTGCCGCCGTCGAGTGTCTCGCGCTTCGTCCTGAGCGGCATGACATTCTATCGGTGAAAATTACTCGAAAAAGATCGTACTCGTTTTGCCTGCTCCGATTCGGCAGTTCGCGAGAGAGATAATTATAATTGAATGAGAAAACGATTCACACATAGACAGCTATTTTATACATTGTCGCAATCAATCACGTGTCGCCTGCGCGCAGATCCGCTAATTGTACCATCACCTTTGCAGCAGCACAGTGACTGCAGACAATCGCATGATGTAACTGGCGCCGTGCGGGCCGTTTTCGCCCTCGTATCCGCAGCTATCCTGTCGATCTCACCGATTCCCATCGTGCGTGTGCATATAGCTTACGCGCCGCGGTCGAAAACTCGATGGGCCGATGCGCGGCCACGATAACGTCCTGCGGCGAGCGCAACTTTTATGTGTTTATCTTCGTCGTCGTCGTCGTCGTCGTCGTCAAGCTGACGAGGCGAGATTCCGCGAGTAGCACATATAAGGACGATTCGATGCCCAAAAGAGGACGGAATGAAAAAAAAAGGAAAGGAAAGAAAGAAGAGGGAGAGAGAGATGGCTATTATAATATGCCCAATGCAATCGTAATAACGTCGTGCAACTTCCCACGCTTCGAAGCCGGAGTACAGGACCAGCAACAGCAGCTGTCACACGCAGATAGGCAGTATCAAATGCTTACATATAAATTCGTCGCTGGGCGCCTGAAATTTCCCAACTGATCGAGTGGATGCGGCTGTACAGTATAAAATAATGCAATGCACAAGATGCACGAGATGCACTTTTATCGAAGGCGCGCGATCGAATTCGGTATAACGCGCGATAAGCTGCGTACGACGAATGCAAATAATACAATTATATCGATGATCGTTTTTAATCGTGCATGGCCAAAGGAAAGCTCGACCTCAGCTGCTGCAATGTATCGTGAGGAATATATCAATGGAAAATGATTATTTCTCTAGGAGCTCGTGACGATAAATTTCGATATTTTCTTTGTATTTTATTCACTCCAAAAAGATAATCGAGCAACGTCAACGTGGCTCAATCGCCCCGGTCTGAGCGCCGAAAAATTGACTCGGACGCGCGCGTAATCTCGTTCGATCGAACGAACGAACGAATTGCATCTCTCTTTTGCATCGCGTATACATGTAGCCACGTGTTTTTCGCACATCGAATTCTCCAAATATCCAGCTATCGCTCGCGGTCGAGTCAATCCTCCGCAGACCATAACATACACACTCGTCGAAACTTCTTCTCGCTCTGTTTATCTCGCATCTCGGTACATATATACACACGCGCGTTACATACATAAATGTGCAGATCGAGCTATGCCAAGCTGTTCTTTTAAATTTTACAAGCCGAAAGAGACTCTCTCGAGTTGTCGGTCGCCCGAAGAAGAAGAAACCTCGAGCTGTGTGTACGCGCTGCTCACTATGTATTGCGTATGTATATCCGTGCATTACAGTGCGTGAGCTGCTGCTGCTCGCAGAGGCAAGAATGTCGCAAAGGTCGCGGCTCGCGCGAGCAGATTATACGCAAACATCGTATACATACACAGCTCGGAGGCTTGGACGCGAGTGCTTAGATAAGACACGATGCTTATATGCATATACACTCGAGTCCCATACCAGCTGATTGTATGTATGCATATGCCCGCGCGCAGTCTAGAATGTGTCGCGCGACGAGGCTCCTATATACATATACCTATAGACACGCACATACGTATATTCTATGCGGTGGCGGTGAACTATAGGCATATACGCGCTCGAGTCGACTCGGAGATTTATCGCGAGTTTTTCGCGATGCGCGCGGCGCGCGAGGTATATAAGGCGCACGGGCCTATGATCGTTCGCAGGGATAGGTATATAGGTATTCTCGAGTTTTGTTGACTGTCTTGGAGCGTGGCGTATATTTATGCGTATCGCTTTCGGATGCGCACGTACACTGAGAAAAAAGTATATCTTTTGCTCAGAAAAACTATTTCTGCTGTGACAGCAGAAACGAGTTCACTTGCGACAAGTGCAATTTCTCCTTGTAATAGGGAGAATCGTCACTGGCCAATGAGCAGTTTTGAACGCGTCACTTCCCCATTAATATGATGCACCTAAACGCGATCACCAACTCACACATATACACACATTCACATACGAGTGCGAGAAGCGGGCCGTAGCACTGCTGTTAGTGCGAGTCGGCATGGCATGTTTTCAAACCGAGATCTAAACTCGGCAACATCGAACTCAAACTCGGATGATTGTATTAACGAAAACACACTGTAGTCTGCAACACGCCGCACACACTAACATAAACACACTGAGGTGTGCAGCTCGCCACCCAAGGGACGCTTACTTGTTTACAGCAACGTTAAAAATTCGAACGACCGTTACAACGTTGCGAACGTTGGCGAGCATAGGGTTCGATTGTCACACACTGTAACGCACTGTACAGTCACACAGTGCAAGCGAGCAGTTACGATGGACATCTCACTGCACGATGTTAGATTCCAATGCTGCGGCAATTTGGCTATCCAGCGGACGCGGGTATTGATTCGTGTGTGTAGGGTTGTTAGTCGTAGTGGGTATGTCTGCTCGCTTGCAGTGTGTGACCAGTGACTGTGCAGTGCGTTACAGTGTGTGACAATCGAGCTCAACGTTGTAACGGTCATTCGAATCTTCGATGTTATTGTGAAAAAGTTACCGTTTCATGGCCGTTGGGCGGCGAGCTGCAGACCTTAGTGTGTTTATGTTAGTGTGTGCGGCGTGTTGCAGACTACAGTGTGTTTTCGTTAATACAATCATCCGAGTTTGAGTTCGATGTTGCCGAGTTTAGATCTCGGTTTGAAAACATGCCATGCCGACTCGCACTAGCAGCAGTGCTACGGCCCGCTTCTCGCACTCGTTTGTGAATGTGTGTATATGTGTGAGTTGGTGATCGCGTTTAGGTGCATCATATTAATGGGGAAGTGACGCGTTCAAAACTGCTCATTGGCCAGTGACGATTCTCCCTATTACAAGGAGAAATTGCACTTGTCGCAAGTGAACTCGTTTCTGCTGTCACAGCAGAAATAGTTTTTCTGAGCAAAAGATATACTTTTTTCTCAGTGTATACGTAAAATATACATCTACAGCAGCAGTGCGTCATAATAACGGCGAAAGTGGCCTTGTCTCGTGTATCTTCGCTCTGCGATTTAACAATTGCTTATCGTACACCATGCGCGGGGTATAAATAGGTATTAAATCATGGAAAGGCAAATGGAATGATGTATAATAGCTAAAAAGCTTGGATCGTTTATGATATGATTTGATATCAATGACTCAAAGAAGGAGGAGGTAACAGAATACAGATCGTAAAAGCTGTTACATGCGATCGTTTCCGATCTATGCACGCGCACTTCGGCACAGTGCATAAGCTGCTACTGCACCGACAGCGTGACGATGGTCATTATATTATATACATTATACACACGTTTCAAATCCGATATTATTTAGCTTACGCTGCGTACGTTTACGTGTAATAATAAAATCTGAGAAATGATAAACATCGACCCATACACCTACACGCGTGTGTGTGTGTGACTGATCTTGCTGCCGTTATATTATATACGCATCTGGCGCGTCGTACGGAAAACATTGAGTCATATCGCAATTATTCAACTCACATGCGAGCTAGCGAGAGATGCTTATCTGCTGTTTTCATCGTTTTTTTTTTTGCGACTTCAAACGTTTGATTTGACACGCGCATCTTTATGGCACCTCTGGCAATAATTATATCTCTGCATCGGTCGAATTCATCGAGTGTCGAGTCGCGTGCAAAAGAAACGTACACAAAAAAAAAGAAAGAAAAAAAAATTACCAAGAAACAATAAATACAATCACGAGTACGTGTCAACAACAAAACGCCGCGCTTTGTTGTATATATTACTTTATATATTATATATGCAGCCGCGCGCGCGATAATAATTATATTACGAGTTTCGAATATTACGCATACACTTATCGCGACCATTGGACTCGCGCTAGCAGCTCGCGACGCACAACAAAAAGACAGGATCATCAAAGCTATAGTTGGTGCGTATAGTATCATAGTATGCCATAAAAGTTAAATTATCATCGCGGCTCGCGCAGTGAATGAAGGAGAAGTAGAGGGGGATCTATCGCTAAAAATCAAATAAACAATTCGGCCTCGCTCGAGAGCACGATAAATAATTAGGTAACTGATAATATCGATATCGATAAATCGACGCCCGGGGGAATGCGTATAATAGTAAAATCGCGTTTCGCCGTACACGAATCTATTGGCACGCGAGAGCGTACGTGTACGTATAATAGTAACGTTATACGCGCGCACTTGCTCCGAAACTCGAATTTCAAATATATGATATACATGTAAATACGCGCCGCGTCAAAAAAGCCACGTAGGTACGCAAGCTCGAGCGCGCGCGAGGCTATCCATAAACGAGTTAGATTTGTATCTCGTTTGGTAAATAAGATGTTTATTGGTCGAAATTTTATTGCGTATCCATTGCGGCCGTGGCCGACCGGCCGCGGCAATAGGTGTATATTATTGGAGTTTAATGTAAATCGAGCAGCCGCAGCAGCACACGCCAGGCCGCTTTTACCAACAGATCACACGAGCGAGCGAGCGAGAGAAAAACTAAAAATCGTGCGCCATGAATAATACTACTATATGCTGCACCGAGCCCATCTGCACGCGCGCACGCAGCAAAGCTAAACGCAAAGGCAAAGAGCCTCTCATTGGATTTAATGGAGTAATTCGAGTTAAACTTCGAGTTGTAGAATTAATTGATTCGCATATTTTCCTCGGCTGCTGCCGACGCCATATGCAAGCAACCCAGTGAGAGAGAGAGAGAGAGAGGTCTTTACGAGCGCGTAAAATCTATACGAGCGCGCGATTTTCGCATCCTCTTGCGTTAGCTGCTGATGCTGCTTGTATTCTCTATAAATGCAACTTTTCTTTTTCACAGCGAAATTATAGTGTGCTTTTAACAGGATTCGCGCACTGCTGTATACACGCGGGCTTTTTTTTCTATACATTTTATATATTTCTCTGGACCTTGGATGTTGCGTTGCGCGCCGCGCGGCGTTGTTGTTGCTTCGACTCGTGCTAAAATCGTTTGGATCAAAGGCCAACCTTATATACTTTTACGACTCGAATAAAGCTCGCGGCGAGATTATTACAATGGATGAGTAATTAAACACGATTAATCGCGCTCGTTTACGCGAATCATTCCGGTAAACTTCGGTATTTAAACTCTCGATACGCGCCAGCTGCTGTATAGGCTTTTTGGTGCACATTATAATGTTTCTCTCTCTCTCTTACTGGTCTTCGAGACACTGCGACGTTTTCGTACGTATTATAGGTGGGTGGAAATTTACGAGGGCCTCAACAAAGATATCGCGAGAGTATAATGCGCGCGTACAGACGTGCGACAATGACTGCACGTATTATGCCGCTAAATCTTTCTCCTCCTGCGCTCGCGTTCCCTTATGCGAAGAACACTGCTGCTGCTGCTGCAAATATTTCTACATCCGGCGCGCCCACCCGCGTACCGAGTGCATGTATGCGACGCATAATTAGAATATAGAGCGCGATGCGGGGAATGGGTTATTTACGTTCGACAATCGTGGATCAAAGTGCATAATTTAGAATTTTCAGAGAATTTCGATAGACGTGAATGAATTGCTTGGCGCAGTGTAACGTGGATTTTTAGTTTTATTATAAAAAAATTTATTACAGATACAGTACTATACTATTACACTATTATCGACGATAATTATTATACAAAATATACAAAATACTTAACGGAGATATATTACAGTTTCATAGGAACCAGCTTCGTATTACTATATTACTAGATCGTCCTCGTCACGAGAAACTTCATCTCGTCTCGCGTGGAAAAGAACAATTTCCTTCTCCACATTTCCTTCGGCGGAGAATCACGAACGCAGCCTGTCGGCGGCGAAGATGACGGAGGCGCGCGCGGGCAGCCTCACCCGCGACATGTCCACTCGCTCCCTGTGTCGCAGTCTCGACTTGACGCTCGCCACGTAGATCCTCATCTCGGCGGGCACGTCGAGCTTGCTCAGCGCGTCGACCCTCAGCTCTCGATCGGCGAAGCTGATCAGCAGCAGCGTCGGCACCTCGTCGCGCAGCTCTCGCACCACCACCAGCACCTGGCCGTCCTCGATCACCTTGACGCGGAGCGCGCCCTGCTGCACCGTGCGATGACGCTTGAGCTTGGCCAGGGCCCGGAACACCTTGTAGTGCGAGGCGCCGCCGAAGTAGTCCGTCTGTTGGCGGAGATTCAGGTCGCGATAGTTGTCGTTGACGGGCAGCCAGGTCGTGGCGTTGCTGGAGAATCCGGCGCTCGTCGTGTCGTCCCACTGGTACGGGGTGCGCTGGGGGTCCCTCGAGGTCTTGGCGTATCCCTCGGGGCCGGCGGCGCAGCCCACCGGATCCCTGGTCTGCTCGTAGGTGAGGCGCGCGTCGGTCATGCCGATCTCGTCGCCCTGGTACACGATCATCATGCCGGGCAATACCGCGGCCAGCATCGACATCTCGTCGGCGCGATCGTTGTCGTAGCCGAATCTCGACGCGGTCCTGCCGATATCGTGATTACCCACCACCCAATTGGCCGCCCTGTGCTTGGGCTTGGCTCGCATCCAGTCCTCGATCAGGGCCTTGAACTCCTCGGGCCTCGAGTCGTTGCGCAGCTGATGGATCATGCGCAGATTCATCGGCTCGGCGCCCACGTGGTAGTACTTGATGACCTTGGGCAGCTTGGCGAACACCTCCATCAGAGCCAACTTCTGGCTGCTCTTGAGCTTCTTCGTGTAGTGATTCATCATCGTCTTCCAGGACCTCACCACGTTGTAGGTCTCGTCGAGATCGCGGGTGTAGATGTGCGACAGCGACGGGTAATCGTCGCCGGCCTCGACGAGGCTTCCGTTGGCCGACGACGACGGGGGCTCGTCCCTGAACTGGGTGTCCTCGAACAGGGCGTTGACGGCGTCGACGCGAAACCCGTCGACCCCGTGGTCCAGCCAGAACTTGAGGACGAGCATCATCTCGAGCTGGACGCGCGGACTGCGATAGTTGAGATCCGGCTGGTGCTCGGAGAAGGCGTGATAGTAGTACTGGCCGCGCTCCTCGTTCCAGGTCCAGGCGGAGCCGCCGAAACCCGACAGCCAATTGTTCGGCGGCAATCGTTCGCCCTCGGCCGAGTACCTGGCGTCGCGCCACACGTAGAACTCGGCGTAGGGCTCCTCGCGCCTCGCGCTCCTCTTGAACCAGTCGTGCTCGTCCGACGAGTGATTCGGCACGAAGTCCAGGATGACCTTGAGCCCCAGCGACTTGGCCTTGCGCACGAGCTCGTCCAAGTCCTCGATGCTGCCGTACTGCGGCTCGACGGCCTTGAAGTTCGACACGTCGTAGCCGAAGTCGCGCTGGGGGCTCGGATAGATCGGCGACAGCCACAGGCAGTCGGCCACGGAGCGCACGTGATCGAGCCCCTCGATGACGCCCCGGAGATCGCCCACGCCGTCGCCGTCGCTGTCCCTGAAGCTGCGCGGATACACCTGGTAGACGATGGCGTGCTCCCACCACTTGGCGCCGGCGAGGCGGCCGCGCCGATTGCCCGAAGCTACGACGAGCAGCAACTGACAGAGAAGGAGCGTCTTCCACATTTCTGCGACTACTGAGCTTCGACGAATTTCGACGCGCTTGTTTTGTGCGTAGAGGCGAGCTTGATTTTCTTTTATGATTATGACGACGACGACGACGATGACGACAAAAGAAGAACGAACAAGAAATTCGATCGTAATCGGCGATAATTACGAGATATATCGTACACACGATATGTATATAATATAACATATATGCTTGTGCAGAGCGCCGCCGGTGTATAGCAGCAACGCGCCGCGATGTCTCTTATCCGCGCGCTGACAAGTGTGTGTTTTAACAAGCGCTACTGCTCGAAGCCCTTCACTTTTGACATCGTAAATGAAATTTTTTTGTCGCGATGATCGACGATAAGATTGTGTCATACACGTTTACTATTTACTCGGCTATCGACGAAAAAGAAAGAAAGAAAGAAAGAAAGAAACAAGGAATCTCGGCACGTATCGCTGGAAAAAAAACTTATGTTATAATAATTATCATCGCACTCGCGAGCAGCGGAGAAAGAGCTCGAAAACGCGGGGGGTGTCAAATATTTCAGGAAATTCACGTCGCTAGCAATTCATGTATACAATTATCTCTACCTCTCCTCTATCTCTTGTTGTATTATGCACAAGCAGCATGTGGAGAGTACTTCCAATTCGAATCAATCATTCTCCCTCGAGTCCCGGACTGTCGCCTCGTCGAAATATACACAACGTGACGTATGAAAAATTATAAATTATCACGGGTTTCGCGGCTTTTTAAGATAGTAAGTATTGCTTCCTCGTAGCAGCCGCGCGCATTACGTAAATTCACCTCGCTCGCGCGCGACACAAACTTTCTCTATGTAAGCAAATTTTTGTCGGATCGCGTAAATCGCGCGCTCGAGTCATATTGTTGTATTATTTTTGCTCGTGTACGTGCGGCACGCGATACTATCCGTGTTGAATTACCAGGTAATTACGAGCTACGTAAATGTGAATCCAGTCTTACACTTGGACACTCGTGGCGCACAGGATACACGAACGTATATACATCTAGTGCCGTGCTTACAATAATAAACGTGCTTATAACGCGGAGGACTCGCGGTAAAACCAGTAAAAATTGTGCCACGCTTGCGACGGTGATAAGTTTATACTTTTTTTTTACCCCTTCTGAACTGTGTGTTATAAGTGCGCTCGAGAGCATCGCTGGGTACGAACTAATGATATTAATGGATACTACTCGCGAAGTAGCTTTATAAATCGATTAGTTGTCTTACATTAGTTTTTATTAGCAGTGCGCGGAGATAAGTATCGTCGTCGATCGGCGCGTAAAACACTCGTCTCTCTCTCTCTCTCAAGCACATCGCACGATGTGGGATTATACGAGGAAAGAGAAGTCGAAACAAAAAATCGAAATCACGTGTGTCAAAAATTACTCGCTGATCGCGTAATACGGCGAGGTTGTGCGTGCACGATACATGCGTATGATATACATATTTCTTTTTTTCAATTTCACCTGCATGCACGCATACGTAATTGTACGAAATATTATTCTTACGCATTTCTCGATGATAATTACAAAATTTTCGAGACCGCGAGCTGATTAATTTCTTCTTTTTTTTTTTTATTTATTTCTCGCAGATAAAATTGAACTTTATCGAACGCAGCTTACGCGCGCGGTATATATAACATTTCACTTGTTAACCTTTTGCTCGTGCACCACCACCGCTGCGCGGTGATATACTTTAATATACTTTTTTCTCGCTCGAGATTATATGGCTTTTCAGGAAATTCATTAATACCCCGCGAACGAGTATAAATTAGCGCGCGCGACGCAACGAGCCCGTGCGCGCGTACAAGTTCTTATATTATATGAGACGGTGCGCGCGTGCGACAAAATGGTTATAAGTGTGAGCTCCGCATGACACGTATGGATGTTGTTTTTCTTTTTTCTTGTAATTTGCAACTGCGACCGAGGTAGAAAATGAAATCCGAGCGTCGTTCGTTTGATTTTTATTACCGATAATGAGTTTTCCCGCAGTCACACCTCGATGGCATATAGCGCCGTTCACTTTTCGCACCGAAAAACGCGCGCTGCTGTCAAATCAACGCGTCATTTTTTTTTCTCCTTCGCGGCTTATACGACTCCGGGGATTGCAAGAGTATTTCATTAATTTGCAATAGTACTCGGCGGTTAATTGATCTTGGAAAATTACAGCAGCGATCCACTACAGTCAATCATGCTTATAAAAGTCGCACAACAATATAACCACGGACAGAGATCGCGGCTTCCGAATTCACGTTCAAAGAATAGAATAAATTTTATTTTTTCCAGATCGCGTCCTGTGATTTTTGTGTGCTTCGAGCTCTCTCTTAATCGACACGGCGATCGCACGCACGCGCGTGTTTCGCGCGAATGCTAAACACTCGAGATCGGCTGCCACCGCTTCAGTACTGTGTGCGGGCAAAAGCGAGGAACAAAAACACGCTGCCGAGTCGTGTTATATACCGCGCGCGATATCCCGCAAGTGCGTGCAAGAAAAAAGACACAAAAAACAAACAAAAAAACAACAACGACAACGGCAAAAAAAAGCAGAAAGAAGAAGAAGAAGCGATCGCGATCGCGTTCGATAAATCTTAAATAAATTAACAACAGAATGGCCAGCTCGTGTGTGCTGCTGCTGCTGCAGTATGGTGTATCGTGTTTATATGCACCTGAAAGCCAGAGTAAGAGAGCGAGAGAAGCCCCACGCGGTATAATGAAGTTATTTGCACTCAGTCGGGTGCTGCTGCTGCACAGTAGAATGAAATCATCATCGAGCGCGCAGTAAGAGCCACTCCTCGTTTTATCAGAATCATACTCACACACACGCATATATATACATAGACATTCACTGGTCTCACTCCATGCGAGGCAGCACACCAGGCCGAGATAACGAGATCTTATATGTGAGTACCATTGCCGCGGTGCCGCTGAATACGTGTTTATATCGTATATATATATAAATATACATCTATAGCGGCTACTCACTTAGATACACTCTTACAAACACACACACAGGGGCAAGCTGCACTTGTGCCTCGCGTTGCACTTGGCGCGCGCAGGCGATACACTTCTTTATAAATAAGCATCCGGAGGAGAGCCGCTGACCAACACCCTCTCTCTCTCTCTCTCGCGTAAAAAGCATCTCTTGGCGCGAGCCGCGTATTTCTATAATTATTGCCGGCGTACATGCGGCAACGGCGTCGTCTTTGATCTTAACCGTGAGTGTCGTATACGTGGTGTGCCGTGCCGTTTATTCCTTCCTTTCTTGATTTTGTTTTTTTTTTTNCCCATTCTTGATTTTTTTTTTTTTTTTTTTTGTATACGCATCCCCTGCCACTGTTGCTGCTGTTTCATTGCAAGTATATATGTGTGTACGGTACACGCGTGTACACCGTACCTGTAGAACAGTGCTCGATTTCGTCCGGGCTTCGCGAAGCCGGGGAGAAATACGCGAGCTTTATAGCTGCGGATTTTCCTTTTCCGTTGTGGCTCTTTAATGTTGAAGCGCGAGGGAGAGGGGCTTAACGATCTTGCCACCGTTTTATCTTACTTTTAATTATTACGCAATCGAGCTATAAATCCTTCGTTCACTCGGACGAAGCCATCTGTAAATCTGCAAGTGGCAAAGTGAAAATAAATATGGGTCAAAATAATACTTTTTTACAAAACCGTGCGCACGTATGTCACCGATCTTGACGCGCTTTTGGTATGTTATAGTACATGGTAAAAAGGTCCCAAAAAAAAATTTTTAGACCCCCTCCCCCCTCCTACCCCCCACTTCCGGTATAAACGTCCATTTTCGATCTATATTTTTTCTGAGGACATGAAGCAAGTAAAAAATCTGAAAAAATTCATAAAAATACTTTTCCACAATCCAAACAACCTTGAATTTTTTCAGATTTTTTGAGTGCTTCAGGCCTTCAGATAAAATCATTGAAAATTTCAAAAATCGAGATACGGCGGTATGAGCCGATGTAGTACTCGGAAATTTTTTCAGTTATTTTTCGCATTAAAAAACATAACCTCAATTTTTTTCAGATTTTTTCAGATTACCTAACGCACCTTTTGAAGCCAAAAACCGATTTTTTTGACGAAAATAATTTTTTTAGGACAGTACGGAGCCTCGAAAAATCTGAAAAAAATTTTTTCTTGTTTTTTTCATCAAAATACGTAATCTCAAATTTTTTCAGATTTTTTAATTGAAGGCGATAGCTTCTAGGGCCGAAAAATGCTATTTTTAACAAAAAATGGTTCCTAGAACCCGATGGTTCCGGTGAAAAAATTTGAAAATATTTTTTTTGAATTCCTTGTCAAATTTTAATAAATTTTGACCGTTTCAAAAGTTCGATTGAAGCTTCCTAGCTCATTTTAGAGCATCAAACGAGTTTTATCATTCCTTAATGTCTTCAGAAACGTCTTCAGATATTTTGCACTAATCTTTGTCCTGCTCTAAAATGAGCTAGGAAGCTTCAATCGAACTTTTGAAACGGTCAAAATTTATTAAAATTTGACAAGGAATTCAAAAAAAATATTTTCAAATTTTTTCACCGGAACCATCGGGTTCTAGGAACCATTTTTTGTTAAAAATAGCATTTTTCGGCCCTAGAAGCTATCGCCTTCAATTAAAAAATCTGAAAAAATTTGAGATTACGTATTTTGATGAAAAAAACAAGAAAAAATTTTTTTCAGATTTTTCGAGGCTCCGTACTGTCCTAAAAAAATTATTTTCGTCAAAAAAATCGGTTTTTGGCTTCAAAAGGTGCGTTAGGTAATCTGAAAAAATCTGAAAAAAATTGAGGTTATGTTTTTTAATGCGAAAAATAACTGAAAAAATTTCCGAGTACTACATCGGCTCATACCGCCGTATCTCGATTTTTGAAATTTTCAATGATTTTATCTGAAGGCCTGAAGCACTCAAAAAATCTGAAAAAATTCAAGGTTGTTTGGATTGTGGAAAAGTATTTTTATGAATTTTTTCAGATTTTTTACTTGCTTC